CAGATCCAGAGGGGAGTGATTGTGATCCCCAAGAGTGTGAAGAAGCAGTACATTAAGGAAGACTTCGAGGTCTTTGACTTCACGCTAAGCGATGAGGACATGAAGAAAATCCCGTTTTAAATGCAATGTGTTTTGAATACTTTTAGTCTCATTAATTAAAAAATGTAATATATTTTTAAATATTAATAAAATTATTACAATTCATTAATTTATGTGTTTCTATTAAAGTGAGATATTTTTCAAAAATTATTGATAGACTAATACTTTCACAAATCTTATCTAATTTTGTGACAAATTTGTGCGAAAGTAAACGATAGGACTTTGAGACGGAGAGACAAAAGTTGAGTAGTTTTTGCTTTCCTTGATAATTGAGAGTTTATTTTATGCTTTTTTGAGCAAATTAACTGGCTCACTTAATCCCTTGAATTTGATTAGATTGCATAGTGCCTAGACATTTTGGCCTCTATAATAAGTGAAAGGTCAATTTGTTTACAATACAATAGTTAATATTGGAAAATGGATTATACCCTCAATCAAAAAGATTTGCGATAAAAAATTTTATTACAATTTCTACTTGACAACTAATACCTAATATTTTACTTTTATGTTGTTTTATGTTAAATTATCTAATTTTATCTAATTCAATCTCTTATAATTTTAGATACACTAAAGTTATTTAGAAAATGAAATGTTAATCTAATTTTATTTTATTATTATTAATTTAAAATTAATTATTTTATTTTCAAAAATCATCTAAACTTTATAGCAATTTATGTTTTGTAAATTTTAAAAACATTACCGGTACTAAATAATAATCAATAGGGCATTACATATTTAGACAAGTAAATTGTATGTTAAATTTTTACGCAATATTTAAAACACAAATAAGATAATAGGAAACACATTTCCTAATTTGCAAAATTGTATATTATTCCCATTAATAGAATATTTATTCAGTAGTACTTCTATATTTAAAAATATTACAAAATCATTAGAAATTTTTAAATTTCATAATTATAATGGAAATAATGCTGAAAATAGTAATGAGGAAGACATACATTTAAACAGATATATTTAAACAGGCATATAATTAATTGTAATTTTGTTGTTTAAGTAATGTTTATCAAAAAGGGTACATCAACAAAAATTGCTTGGTATAATTTTGGAGGGACAATAATAGGTAATGTTTCTATTTCAATTGTAATATTGATTTAATGTAATTGATTACCAGTAATATTTGGTAAATATGATAACCCGTGTCAATACGTTATTTTGAGAATATTGTGAGAATTAAACCAATATTGCAAATGTCCAGGATGTCGATGAAATCATTGCAAATTAAGATTTTTTATTCACTATATATACACCCGATAAACAGGTTAAAATTTATTAAATCAGTAAACCTGACAATACCTGACCCACAATGAAAGTCGCGGTGATTTTGACACTAACCCTTACAATCGTATCGGCAAAAGGTCTGTACATTATTACACATACAGTACAGTATTATACCCATTTGTCTAACATTTAAAAATAATTATATTTAATTAGAATTAAATAAATTTGTGTTTATTTGCTTATCTAGTGCCGAGTATCAAATTAAACACTGGCTATGAGATGCCACAGATAGGTCTGGGCACATGGCAGGCTACCGGTGACCCCGTCAAACAAGCTGTTAAGGATGCCCTGAAGATCGGTTACAGACATATCGACACCGCCTGGATCTACAAGAACGAGAAGGAGGTGGGAGAAGCCATTCACGAGCAGATCGGCGCCGGTATCCTTAAGAGGGAGGACCTGTTCATCACAACTAAGGTGTGGCCCAAAGACGCCAAAACCGCGAAAAAGTCTCTGGAGACTGTCCACCACTCACTGCAACAGTTGAACGTCACTTATCTGGACTTAGTTCTGGTGCACAGACCGGCGGACAACTACACGGAGGTGTATAAGGGTCTGGAGGAGGCTGTGGGCCAGAAGTTGGTCCGATCTATCGGTATCTCTAACTTCAATAAGGCTCAGATCGACAGCTTGAAGAAGACCTGGAAAATGAAGCCCGCAGTCAACCAAATCGAAATCCATCCGACCCTTAACCAGGACGACACGGTTAACCATTGCAATGATTTGGGTATTGCTGTCACCGGATACTCGCCATTGGGTACTGGCAAATTGATCAAGGACCCGACCTTAGCCGCTATTGGTAAAAAGCATAACAAGAGTGCGGCTCAGGTGGCTCTCAGGTGGCAAATAGAGAGACATCTGATCACAATTCCCAAGAGTGTGACCAAGAAGTACATTCAGGAAGACTTCGAGATCTTTGACTTCACGCTTACCAAGGATGAAGTGAAAACTATTCATGACATGCATGCTTAAATTGTTATATTAAGTATAATTTAAGTTTATAAAGTTTTAATTAAAAAAATTATAAAAATTAATTGTAATTCTATATTTTGCTTAATTATTTACTTAATTAAAATAACATAACACCAATATTGATAATGCAAAACTAAGTAATTTTTATTTTAAAACTAAATAGTAGATATTAATTATTTGCTAAAAAATTATAGTTTGAAAAAAATTGATAATGGTGTAGAAAAATTATATTACTGCTAACTGTAATACCGTAGTATATTGTGTACATAGTATGATGATTAGATTAACTGTTTGTGGCATTTTAGGAAAATGATCAGGAAAAGTGATAACTAATAACTATGATTTTTGTGTGTACAAATTTGAACTTTTAATCACAAGTGAATTAATTCTTGATTAGCAGCAGGATATTTTGATACTTTCTAATTATGATATTTTACTGAAAATCTAAAGATAAGAAATAGTAGAATCAGTATTAATCTAAACCTATCAAGGTCTTTTGTTTTACTATAAATAAGTGGAAAACTTTTTAATTTGTCATTTAATTGAATCAGGAAACCTGATAACACCTGAAACACAATGAAAGTCGCTGTGGTTTTGGCACTAACTCTGGCCGTTGTGTCGGCAAAAAGTAGGCATTCATTTGGGATTCATTTCAATATTAAACGTATTTCACATAAAACTTATTTTTTATTTTGCAAACTTGTTTAGCGCCGGCAATCAAACTAAACTCCGGTTATGAGATGCCGCAGATAGGTCTGGGCACGTGGCAGGCTACCGGTGCTGCCGTCACTCAGGCTGTTAAGGATGCCCTGGAGATCGGGTACAGACATATCGATACCTCCGAAGGGTATGGTAATGAAAACGAGGTTGGGAAAGGGATTAACGAGCAGATCGCCGCCGGTATCCTTAAACGGGAGGAGCTGTTCATCACAACAAAAGTGGATCCGCCGAAGAACCGACAAACGGCGTTACAGACCGTCCATAACTCCCTAAAGAAACTGAACGTCACTTATTTGGACTTAGTTTTGATTCACTGGCCCGCAGACGCCGACGCAGAGGTCTATAAGGGCTTGGAGGACGCCGTCGACCAGAAGTTGGTCCGATCTATCGGTATCTCCAACTTCAATAGGGGTCAGATTGCAAACCTCAAGAAGTCCTGGAAAGTGGTGCCCGCAGTCAACCAAATCGATATCCACCCGACCCTTAACCAGGACGACACCGTTGCCTATTGTAATGAATTGGGTATCTCTGTGACCGGTTTTTCACCATTAGGTACCGGAAAAC